GTTTTGCAGAGGGCATCTAAGCAGATTGTGACATTAACTTTTACCGAAAATGTGAAGCTTCCCTTTGCCTTTTTTAGAGGTCACCGCTAGGCCAGACATTACAGTTTTAAAATAACATAACATGACCTCATGAATAATTTGAGTTCTAACTTCATGAACTTTAATTACAAAGTTACATAGAGTTCCACAGACTAAAAGCCAGATCAAAGTAATTTACATTTTAGTCATGTACAAAAGGAAAAGATAATGGGATAAATGCCTAGTCTAGAAGATTAAAATGCACAGTAGCCATGTGATGGGTGGATAGAGTCCATATAGGCCACCTGCCTATTTAGAATGTTTGATCACTTTCAATGACCACTAGTTATTCTCTCTATATAAATTGTTTACTTTATAAAACAAGATATGCGAAAACAAGCTGTGTTAAAGAGATTTAAGGACTATCTCAGAGTCTGGGATTTCTAGTGACTTGTTAACCAGTGTCTGGGAAAGAGTGTGGGTGCCATTTCTCAGTATAATCTGTACAACCAAGGGCATGGACAGCAACTTTCACTCAGTTGTGTTAAAATCCTTAATTCTCTACCCTCCGCTGAAAGCATTTTAGATCTTAGGATCTTGAAGAAATAAAGTATTGATTTGCTTTTGTGACACAAGCAACTGGCTCTGACTGGCCCCTCATGTGTAGAATGTGTAGTTTGGATTAATTGCTTGCTAAACTCCATTCCAGTCTTGAAATTCATTCATTTTGTGAAGATGTGCCACAGACACGTGTGGAAAGAGGTATTATTCATGTCATTTCTTCTGCCATTATCATGTGTCCTTGACTCTATTATGTCTTTGAGATTGCAACATGTAGAGAAGACTGGTAAATCCAGCATGTCAAGGCATCACTCATATAATCCAGTGAAAAACAGATTTTAAACACTTATCTTTGCTTAATATGAGTTAGTGGCTATTACCTGGACTCAACTTTTCTTTAGTTGAAATAGAATTTCCCTGTGAATTTTTTCTACATCGCTTCAACATTTAAAGATTACATAATTTTTTCCCAAGTGAGAAAAACAATTAATCAAGGCATGAGATGGTGAGTGAAGATGTTTCTCAGTACCCTGACATGTCCTGTCCTATGCAGGAGCACAGCAGGATGCTATGCATGCCCACGCAGCTCACCTGACCCTCTGAGGTGCCTGCCAGAAGGTGGAGAATGGGGCTTGTCTTTCTGCCTCCACGAGGACTGTCTTCATAACAGTGCTTGAAAATTAAACAAGTTTGAATATGCAAAAAAAAATGATAAATGAAATCTAAATAAGATACCAAAAAAAGACAATAAAATAAACTCAAACAGATTGAATTATATCTGAGAAAGAAGCATGTTCAGATAAGCATTCCTATTATAATTTTTAAGGGGAAGAAGCTGTGGTCATACAGGTGTTTTAATTTTTAAATAACAAAATAATGACCAAAAGCTAATTCAGAGGGCAAGAAAACAATTCAAAAAAAAAAAGCGAGAAGGTAGAATTTTATTTTGGAGCCCTAGTCCAAAAGCAGGTATTTTTTACAGAAGAATTCTGCAGTCATTTTGTAGGATAAGTCATGCACAATCGTTCTGGGGAAGGAGAAATGGGCAAGAAGTGTTTCTCCTATATCTAGAGGCAGACGAGTGGTCTTTCCTGATAATTTACTTCCAATCTTGTAGGAAAATACAGAGTTTTAAAAGGACTTACAAAAATAATGGGGCTTAGTATCAGAACTCTGTCATCTGATATACTGGATATATTTACTTTTTAATTAGATTTTCCTATTATTTCAAACTGTTAATAGAGACATTTTGACTTTAATAAGGCAAATGTTCTATAAAAGATGACGTAAATGTGTTTACCAGAACTATTTACAGTCCTTGTGATAGTGTAACAGATATTTCAAAGAAATGTTTTTGGTCTACACTGGCAAAATTAAAAATAAAATATCACAAGAAAGAGAACAAAATGTTTTTGCAATCTTCTTTCTTCCTTTCTTCTTTTTTTCCTTTCACAGCATAAATGTTTTTAGCTTTCTATTTAAAATAGTTTATGGTTTATCTGTCCTTTTCTCACACTTTTTTAAAATAGCTTTTTTTACATTTTTAGACTTATTTTTTATTGAACCTTTAATGTTCCAGTGATCAGTTTCCCCTTAAAAGCAGTTGAAGTTTGCTTGTCTTGCTTAAAATGGATGCCTTATTTCTTTGTATTGAAAATTGTTCTAACAGCAGATAACCCTGAAGACAGGTCATTCTCATGACATATTGACCTCATGTTTATGCTAAATGTTGAAATAAAGCCAAAATTCTGTTAACGCATTGAGCATATCCTGTTAGGCATAACATTTAAAGCTGGAGATGATCAATTTCTGAGTATCTAATACCTGCAGAGCTTTGTCTTGTGGATTTTAAACAATACTTCATATGGCACAGGTGTGTTAACTTGAATTGTGTTTCTCTGTTCTGAGCACATTCTCCATGAGAGAGTGTTTGAACATAGAGACTTCTTTCCCTGGAATGACAAACTTCAAAATCCTTTGCTGAGTACAAGAATATAGACTCTAGTTGGCCTAAACATGAGCAGATGTAAGATATCCCCCATGTCTGTCTCTAAATCTCATATTCTGCCTCTACCCGCAGTGAAAAAGAAATAATATTCTTATGAAGTTATCACGTCTTAGTTTTCTCATCTTTTAAGTTACTGCTACATTCAGCAGAAGATAAGTGGTTTAAAAATCTCACAGCTATGTTAAGGTTAATTTTTTCTGGCCAGTAAAGGCATTAGCCAATTACAGATTCTTTATCTGTGAAATGAAAATACACATATTGCATTAGCCTTCTGACAGCATCGTTAAGACGAACCCGTATTTCCAACTAATACTGAAGATTTGTCGTATAGTTGCATAGAAACAATAACAGCATAAAGAATCTCTACTCTGCACAGATGGCTAATGATTTTAATTTTGTCAAAAAGATTTAAATTCACTGGCCAATAGTTTGATTCTATAAGGACAAATAGTCTTTAGTGTGAAATATACCGTTGTTCAGATTCTAGTTAAAAAATAGAACATATATCTCAAACCTTCACCAAGGCAGATAACTGGATTTGTTCCAAATCTAAAACTTACTGTGCTTTTGTGCCTAAAATGATATTCCTTATTCATATGATCAGAGAGCACGTTACATAATATTTGTGTTATGCAAAAAAAAAAAAAAAAAGCAAATAAAACAAAAACAAACCATGCAAGGAAGACCTTAATGGTATTTAAAACCCCTCCCCCACTCCAAGATAGTGTGGGATGGAGGCAAGGCAGGTGGGGGTATGTGCATTTAAAAAAATAAATAAAATAAATATAATATGGTGGGCTTTTCTTTCTGGAATATTCTCTCAGTACGTGACTTTTTGTACTTTTCGTCTTCTCCATCTGCCAGCTGGGGTGATGTGGTGCCTGCGCGAGCTGCGTGTCTTCCACTGGAGGCTGTGCAGCAACACAGTCGTGTGAAGTGAGAGCATGTGATCATCCTAGTTAGGGCAGTTAACAACCGGTTAAGCGACGTTTCCCTCAAATGGCCGTGCTCGTCGCCCCCCGGCAGTCTCTTCCACCCCATCCCGTTCCTCCCTAGCCCCGACCTCCTCCCCAAACCCCTCGCGAACGCCGCAGCCCTGCCACCGTATTGTCCTCGTGAGCACCGAGCCACCGCATCCGCCGAGGCCAGCCGCAATCAGCCGATGGGGGGGAAAGCGACCCGGAGAAGGAGAGAGGCTGCCGCTCTGCAGAGGGGGACCGCGGCCGGAGCCGCCGCGCCCGGGGCGCCCGGCAGGTGCGGAGCCGTCCAGCGCGCACAGAGTTAAGGCGTCCTCGCAGCCATTAGAGGGAAAGTTGCGGCGCGGC